ATAAAATTTTACCAATTTTTTTCATTTTTATTGAATACAACAAAATCTGTTAAATATTACAGTTTGCAATTAGTTTTCGTGCCGGCGCCGTTCGAGTATAAAGGGTTAAAATTGAATTGTACAATTATATTGCATAGATCCGCGTAGACACGATGTTGCGGATAAGAGCCGTCGGGATGCTCCCGCTTACTTATTTATCTAATTCGTTATCCTGCGTTACAGTTACCCTTTATGTAAACCACAATTGCACGTGCGGTCCATACTTCGACCCGCGTAAAGTGAAAGCCATGCCGGCGCAGTTCGGCACCGGGCCTATACTAAGCGTCGCGCGCGAGGTGTTCCAAGCGTTTCTAATGGCCGCGTTGGGTGCAAGGCATATGTTAAGTTTATTGAGACGCGGCGAAGGAGAGACGATTAATTTAATTTTAGAAAGTAAACCGACTTCCGTTAGATTACCAGTATTTATGGATCAGGAGGACTTTTATTTGTACATTAGGCGACAGCTCGAAGATCTTTGTGCATGCGAGCATATGATATTCAGAAGGAAAGAGCCTTGCTTGAAGTGCCCGAATGCTCAGCAGCCGCAGTCTACGAACAGCGAAGAGGCAGTAGCCAATACTGACACGTCTAACGGCAATAACAGTGCGAGAAAAAGAAGGTGGCCCGAAGAGAGCCAACAGAATCAACAAAGCCTGTCGTCCACCACGCAGCAACAGCAAACGCAACCGGAGACGCCGCCGCAAACGCAACAGAATTCCGTACAAAGTACGAACAATGATACCTCTCCTTCGTCGTTGTCGTCGTCGATGCCTACGAAGCAACTCCGAAAATCTATCCCAGGTAAAACGACTCGTCACTCGACTTCACACGTTCCCAGGAATAAATTAGTTGTTCACGTTTGAACATTTCGTGCAGAACTCGAAGCTGCTACGTCTACCACTCCGTCGGAGAGTTCTAATAATCGCACACCTACTACCGAACCCGCAGAGTGGACTATTGAAGACGTGATACATTATATCGGCATTACTGATCCGGCGCTCGGCCAGCATGCAGACCTGTTCAGGAAGCATGTGAGTTATGCAGTAGAAGTTACATATGAACGCCCACATTACATATGTATGAATATTCTGTTGTGTGAACCTCTGTTGTCTGAACATCTTACTATATGTAGTGACCCTCCAGGGAGCGACTGGACTAGTAATGGTATTCAAAATCACTAATCGTGATTTTTCACGTGACCACAAAATTCCATAAGAAAATATAGACTTTTGTTCTCTTTAGTTTAGTTAGTTAGAATAGTTGATAGATCGATAGTGCTCATAAGCAAATCGAGCGGTTCTATAAGTCCATCATTTTTCAACTGATCGACTTGAAATTGTTATGCGAGCTACATAATAACTAGAATGCGGATTTTTATACAAAATATATGTATAATTCTAATGATAATTGTTTGTTGTTCTATTACATAAAATTCACTTATTAACATTTGTCCCCTAACATTAATTCATATAATGGAGTTTCTACTGGGACTCATTGCGATTTTAGACTATTTTGACACATTATTCGCTTTTTGGAAACGTTCTATCATAGAAAATTCTCTTATAAACATATCTGTCTCCTGATTAATTCATATAATGAAGCTTCTACTATACTCACTTGGATTTTAGACTATTTTAACAGATTATTCGCCTTTTTGGAAGGGTCCCATTATAGAAAATTCTGTTATTAACACATTTATCTTCTAAGTAGTTCATACAATGGAGGTTCTACTATACCAGGGGGGCCAACCTGCGGCTCTTAGAAGGATTATTTGTGGCTCTCAATAAATGTATCCGAGTTCCCTTTTCATTTTTGTGCTATTATATCTTAAAAAATTATTATCGTTCCATATGTGTTTCAAAATGTCTTTTAAATTACTGACATTAAATATGAAAGACTAAATTTTTTTTAATACCTTTTTTGCATACCTTTTAAATACTTATTTAATTGCGGCTCGCGAGAAATTTCAAATTTTGAAAAATGGCTCGGACTATCAAGGAGCTTGGCCACCCCTGTACTATACTGATTTTATTATTGACTAGAAATAATGGATACGTTTGATACAAAATTTCTTACAGGAAATCGACGGGAAAGCATTATTACTTCTAAACTCCGAGATGATGATGAAGTACATGGGCCTGAAACTTGGCCCGGCTCTAAAAATATGCAATCTAGTTAATCGTATTAAAGGCAGAAGGCACCTGCTTCTGTGACTGAGTCAAACGTCGAACTCTGTACAGTGAATTAAAAGTTCTCCTACTACTTAACAATTTGCTGGTTACAAATTCGTTTCCATTATCGTGATAAAAGGGAAAGAAAGAAAAAACAAATTGTTGAACTACTGTGAATATATTGCGAGTATGCACTTTGATAATGATTGTATAATGAAACAATTGATTGATTCATCGTTTATGTAGGTTGTAAGCGACCGGAGAGAATCAAAGTTTAATCGTGCTTTAATCTGTACTAAATTGTACAGACGGCTCATTGGCTATCGGGCTCGGTTCCCACGTGCACATAGAAAATCCGGTACATTCATCTAAGTCCAAGTAGCTGGAACGCGTGCAAAGCATTCAAGATAGAGAGGAGACCGTGCCAATTTTCTATGTACTTCTACAAACCGAGCCCAATGAATATTCCGTACTTTATTTCTCTTTTAGTAAATCGGCGAAATTACGAGATGCCTCTAAACCAGGGATGGCGAGCTTCTTTTCCTAAATAACGTTTGACTCTGACTGTGAACTTACCTGTTTTCCCATGCCAAGAGAGCTACACTTGAAAATATCGACCTTCTTCTTCGTAGGATTGCGTTATAAAGCTCGAGAAAGAAACAGACAGATTTATCTTTTGGCATTGAGACACTAGCGGAGGTCGTCAAATGCAGCACGAGAAGCGGGGGAACAGAAGCTCGCCATCCCTTCTGTGAACGAATCCTAGAACTCGATTAGCTTAAACAATTAAATTGATCACGATCGGGTATTAAGTAACTATTGTTCGCATTTGCTTTCATAGGATTTTATTCTTCTAACGAGGTAATTTAGACAGTTTAAAAAAAAAAAAGAACATTGTACAATATTTATACACCGCATTTGCAAAAGTACACGTTGGTACTTTAAAAACGTTAGATAATTACCTTTGAATACATTTTTATTTGTTAATTAGGCAGGAACTAATTATATTAAACGTTTCTGTGCATTTTCATCGCAAAGCGTGAATGGCAAGGTAAAAAGAGTATGTACAAAGTGTAATTATTTTCTGTTCGATACGACACGTACGTATTTAAGGATCGTTACCCATAACTGTAATTACTTTATGCGTTTCGCAACGTATCCACAAATATGAAACAAATAATAATAATAAAGCATCATTTTGTACACGATAAGGAAGCATCTTCTGCTTTTCATCGATCAGAGACTATGTAATCGCATTATTTCTTTTTATTTTCTTTTTTACGAGTAACACTACGTGTAACGAAACAGACTTTCAACGAATCTAATTCAAATAAAGAATTGCTGCATCGTACTATATTTTTCTGCGTAGAGGATTATATATTTTTATGTTTTATACTTTGGTGAAAAGATAAACAATGTCACGACCGACGGATTTTGATTTTGGAAATAAGCTGATTGTTTTAGTTAAGAATATTATAATTTTCATTTCTTATCGAATTTGTTCATTGCATGACGTTAATATGAAAGCAATTTATTATTTCTTTACGTCTGTATATACAGAATGTTACGGTATATGCAAAGTTACAGAGATCGACAATTCTTCGGTCCCTTAATTTTGATTATTAAATAAAATTGTAGATATTCATTAAATTAGAAATCTCTAAATACCATATTAACACGAGAACTACTGACTTTTTTTTATACATTCATTTCTTCATTAAAAACGAGTCAGTTTGATCGGTTTGGTAGTTCTAGTGTTAAATAATAGATTTCAAACTTTAATTTAGAAAAGAATTATTGTTCTACGATCATCTGTTGCTGAGTAATCATTTTCTAAATTCGAGTAATTTTCGACACTCGGATNAATGCCTTTTATACCAGATCCGAATTTATCCAGGTATTGCAGCGCGATTAATTAGTGAGCGGTTAAACCTGGACAGCCACTGCCGTCTTGTCCCACTTCTACGTATTAAGTTTCAAAAGGGATTGTAAACTTGGACAGTAAATAATTGCTACTATTTATTACTGTCCAAGTACTGGTTCCAAAATTCATTTTGTCCCAGTACTACTTCCTTTACCTTACACAGCTTGTGCATAATGTCAAAGCTTGAGACAGTGAAAAATTTATTATTCTAAAATGTACATAGTTTCAGCTAAATCCTGAATTTCATTTAGAATACAAAAATTTAATTAAGCAATAATCTATCAGATAACAAATTATTCTTTCATGAACTATTATAATTGAATTAATAAACAATAATGGAACGTGTGTGGATTTGGAATCAAGCGAATTACAATCGAAAATTTTATTAGCAAAGCTATTATTTTAGTAAAAACGTATAGAATAAATGATTAAAGATTCAAGTTGTTATTTAATCATCGTCCGAGTCGTCGGAACGCGAATCTTTGGGCCCTTTGATAGTTTTACTTTTCGCGATGTACGATAAAAACGGCTTCCTGCTTTCCTCTGACAGAGAACTCTCGTCGAACGTGATTACACCCGAAAATGATAGTCTGTACTCTAAAGTCTCTGTAGAAAAATCGTCGCGATTCCCCAAATCGGTGAAACCGACGATGTAGTCTTTAGTCTTGCAACCAACGATGAGAGCGATGGTCGGAATGATTTTGATCCTCAAACGTTCTAAAAGTTATAATTATGATTACCGTTCGACTTCGAGGTTGAATGTATTAAGTAAATTCAGTGGAACCAACAGTTTTCCAACAATGTTGAGAACTCGACGATGATCAGTTTCTATGTTCGCTCTGGATTTGTTAAGCAATTGTAACTGAGTGATAACATTCACTGAATATTCGTGGAACTGTTGATCCGATTAAATGTACCCATCGTAACTTACCAGTTAAAAACGGGCATCTAGTGGCATCTACTTTACAAAACATTGCCTCTAAGTGTTTCTTGGCAAGGATCTTCAAATGGTGATCGACTATTTTACACCTCGGAGAATCGTCTTTGTAAAATAAACAGACTACATTCTCAGACTTCTTGGAGACGTCGAAGAACTCCTTCTCGTCCCGGAGCTCGATGTACTCGCCATGACCCTAATCAACGATTAATTATATTAAATAAGATGAAATGAAACGAAGATATCAAAGTATTAAACAAATTATTGTTCACCAGAACCAGCCAGTTTTGTTTTTGCTGTTGAAGCTGTTTCAATTTCTTATATCGTTGCTCGCGGAGCTTTTCGAAATCGCTGATGTCCAGATTATCCAATTTCTCCAATTCAGCGTCGATTTGCTTCTCGACGCTCTGCGTCGCCTCTAACACTTTTTGTTGCAAAACAGTCTCCATTCTCGGATCAAAAACTTCGGTGGAGTTACAGGTTACAGACAACTATCACACATTTGAAACGCGTGGGAAGGAGACAAATAACAGTAGAGAAGTCAGTAAATCAGACTCAGATGAGAAAGCATTTCAAGTCAGATTCAAATAAAGAAGCATTTCGTTAAAGTTCCACTAAATTTTACGAGTTAGTTGGTAATGTACATTAAATCAGTTAGATTTTCTTAAATAAGGTTGTTCTCATTGCTGCGGTTTCAATTTGCCCGTACAAGGAGTTTCTGTCAAATTTTAACAGAGAGAAGAGAATGTATTCCTATCTTTGTTTCTCTAATGAAACCGGCACCGGTAGTGACGTATACTATCTAGGCGTCTAGTTGAGCCCACAAGTGCTGCCACCAGTGTGATCCCGCCGGATTTTGAACATGCTCATTCGTTTTATCACCGAGGAGATGTTTTATCTTCCATTAAAAGTAAGAAAAGAAGGTTAGGCATAAGGTAATAAAAATAGGAACAGTATTTTGTAAAATAAGAATTTTAATCAGTTCTCTTATGACCACCGAAACACAATTTAATTGATCATCAGGATCATCACGAATCAGCTGCAGGTTCTTCTGTCACTGTTTCAAATTGCTCCATGTATTCTACGTCTCCTTCCCTTTGTAATATCAACTTCTCTGCTTTCGATAGTACATTAATTCCAACCAACTTAGGCACCGCGCGCGTATTAATTCATTATTCCTCCTTTCCAACACTGGAGCTTCTGCAATATGCTCCTGTAAAAATTAAAAACGGTTTTACAATTATAACGAGAGAGTACGGAAAGAATGAAGTCTGTGTTATCGACGTACTTATAGGTGTTGATTCATTATTGTTCCTTCCCGACACTGGACCCTCTCCATATGCTCCTGTACGAATTAAAATTGTTCTTAGAATTGCAAAATCTTAGAATATTATATATATGTGGTGTATATTAAATACATATTTTATACGTTTGGTCAATGAAATCATGAAAATAATTTATTGCACATAATTAATGTTAATTTTATGTACGTCGCCTTATATGCGTACGCGCATCATTTATATTCTTTAGCGCGTTCGCAGTTATTTTACTTTTAGAAGAAAAGTAAAACTAAAGTAAAA